GGGTAGCGAACGATATCCAGCACACGACTATGGGCGTGATCTGGTGGTGTGCGGGCTTGACTGGTGTATGGCTTAGTAGGAAGAAGGATGGAGGACCAAAGCGAAATTTCGTGCCCGGTTTTGTGATATTCTTGACCGGGTGGGCGATGAGTGGTCATCCGCAGCATTTGCCATTGAGCACGATGGTACATGTTGTATTCGGGTATACTTTGATGGCTGCGGGTTTGGCGAGGATCATTGAGGTCGCTTTTATACTGAGGGATAGGGCCGAGATGGAGGATGGGGAGACGAATAGTTTCCAATATGTTGCACCGTTTGTAAGTTCTTGATCCCCTCATATCTTTCCTCGGAGGCGCCCTTTTTCAGCTATGAAAGAATGAATTCACAGCTAACACTTCTTCAGCTCCTCTACGCATCCGGCTTACTCTTTATGGGTGCCACAGAAGAGCAAATGCAGCTCATTTCCGACGCCGGTATCACCCATGTTGCCTACGTCCTGGTTCTCTACTCCTTTGCATTCCTCATTTTCCTATTCACAAACATGCTCCTACACTTATACGCCGTCAATTCATCGCCTCCTGTTCCACCAAAGGACGACGAGTCCCTAGCTATGAACGGAGGAGAGAGGATGCGGAGATTACCGAGGATAAATGGACATAATCCTACAGACTCGAGACAGATTCGCGATGCAGAAGAATTTGAGCTAGAGGGATTAATGAGTGAGGATGATGATGCGATCCTGAAGGAGGTAGATGGTGATGCAGGGTTGGAGAGCCCGAGTACGTTGGGGAGGAATGACGCCTTGAGGGTTTGATTGGGTCTTCTTCTGGATTCGTTTTTGGTATCTGGGGATGGGTGGTGTAAGTTAGACCTCAGGGCGGAGATCAAATGCATTGGTATAGATGGGTATATAGGTATATATTATCGGCGTTTGAGGAGGTCTGTACTGGTTCTGGTACTCCGAGCTGCGCGGTCTTTCACCAAATGAATGAATCAGTCGAGGTAGCACAGTTAATACAATTATGTTATATGTTCTCTCATATCCTTTTGTCAATGCTCGTCCTACTCTTGGCCTTCTAATTGCGTCCTTGCTTTCTGCTTCGTCCTGAGCTGGTGGTTTATCTTAATCTTGTATTGACTTCACCATTACCCACCATAGTAAATAGTAAATAGTATTGGAGCTTTAACTCGTGTGGAAACCCCATTCTCCTGATAGTCAAGCGAGGGGGTTCCTTCTTGAATTTCCTCTCCTCTCCTTTCCCTTCCAACTTCCTTTCCAATCCTTCCCTCACAACCCTTCCAAGCCTTCCTCCCCTCCTCTTTACTCCCCTTCTCCCAGCCCAGCCCAGCCCAGCTCAAGTACACAGCTATCTTTCACACCCATCCATCTTGATCCAACGCCCTTGTGTTATGTATAAAATAAAGCAACCCAAATCAAAGACTTCCTTCCTCTCTCCCTTCCTACACACGATCACGAAAGCAGCACCGCAGGGCTACGGTATCGAAACTTTGCGTGCGAGATGGTATAGTGTACAGTGCATTGATTGGCTTGGAAGGTGCCGGAGAGGTCAGGGGAGAGGAAGATGGAGAGGGAGAGGAACGCAGGCTGAGCACTGGGAATTTAAGCTAGATTTTTTCTTGGTTTGGGGATGTATGGGGTGGGTGTATGGGAGATGGCGACGAAGGGGAAGGAGGGCGTGGAGTCCGGGGAGGTATGTGGGAGAGGGGAGGGAGAGGGCGATAGGGTACAAGGGAGATGGGTCATTAGAGGTATTGTGGGCGAGGGGAGCGCGTGTGAAGAGGATGAGTACTGAGTACAAAGACCGGCGAGAGCGTCGTTGAAACAACATGATCTGGTTCCTACTCCTGCGCGAGGACAGAGGGACGTGAAGAGAAAGGATGAGCGAGGAGAAGTCAAGTGCGGAGAGCGAGGAAGTGTCGTTTCTGCAGTTGAAGACTTGAAGTTCAGTGAGGCTTTTAAATTTTAGAGACTATTGCTTACACGAGTGCCTATCAATGCTTAATCGAGGTGTTTCGCATCGCACCGTGCTATACCAACAACGCTTTTCTCCGATCCACGAGAGACGGAAAACTTCGCTCTATCTTCTTGGTCATCTATGTGATTGATTCATTGTTATATCCTCGGGGTGTGCAGCTAGCTAGCTAGCTCATGATTTGTCGCAGTACTGTTGTTTCCGACACAGGACTCACGCCTCATAGACATCTCGCCCATCCTCGGTATTTACCGTACCTTGTATCCAAGGACTTTGTCGTTTATGAGCTTCCGAAGACGAGATTTCGAGATGGTCGAGAGGAGGATGAGGGAGGGAAGAGAGCTTGCAAGGTAGTTTACTGTAGTGAAATTGATGAATTCAGGGGTGCTAGACACTGGATTCGAATTGCCTTCCCTCCCGTTCCTCCATGGCTCGGGATTGAGGGTGAGGGTGAGGGTAAGGGTGAGGTTGATGGTGTCGAGGAGATCCACCCGGGATATTTTGCTTTTGCTTTTGCTGTAGTTAGATGAAGAGGAAGAGAGAAAGGAAAGCTGGGAGTGGATGAACACGGATCACCGGTTAGTCTTGGTATCAAATGAAGAAGGGAGGAGTGAGAACGGAACTTGTCTTGTCCTCTCTCCCTCTAGGTCGGGTCTTGCGGAGATTCTTGGGGCCCAGTGAGAAGGAAGTAGCGGAAATGGTGGGATCAGCGATGATTGAGAAAAGAAAAGAAAGGAACATGGGACTCGATGGGGATGTCGTTGGCTAAAAGGATCACGTATTGATGAGAGGAGTTTTAGTTACGAGGATTGAGGGATACGGGCTCGATTTTCATTGAGACGATGAGATTTGGTGGAAATTGTATAACGAGCGATGATTGAGGAGCGATGCTCAAACGATAAGAGGTACTTGGTTAGGACGACTAGGTATTGACAAGAGGGGCTTCAACTGCGAGGAATGCATGTTCGAAGATCCCATCGTTCGTATGAGACTGTACTGTACCTTGAGACACGTCTTTGAGAGGTGACACTTTAAATAGTAGTACAACAGGCTGAGGCGCATCCCAACCTGATAAAAAAAAAGGACGCAGCACTCATAGAGTCATAAGGAGACAACAGTCACAGCAACCCAGACTCAAGCTTGACAAATCCCATCAACATCTAGCTGAGTAATTTCATCTCGCCAAACCCAGCACCCTTCATCTCCTCCTGCACATACTTGATCACACTTCGCATCGTCCCTATGCCTCCTTCGCAAGCACCGCTCTCAAGATGCTGTGCCAGCGCACTCACAGTCGCGAAATGCTTCACGGGTTTTTTCTGAACACCTCCACGCACTAAGGTGCGTGGGCAATGGAACGATATATCGTCAGGTGCTGGCAAGATGACAGAGACTTGCGCATGTACACTTGATGATAGATGGCTCTGCAGTCCACTGGTCGTGTATTGCCGTTTCCGGGACGGCGGGCAGAGGTGACATTTGTGAAAGCCATTTTGGGCACGAAGGCGCTCGGTGAGTGCAGAGTGAAAGTTTGCGGTGTTTGATGAAGCAGATACAGGTGTGAGGACCACAGAGGACGGATAGGACCCGGAAAATGTGGTCGATGTAGGAGTCAGTATCGGACTTCGGGATTGCGATGTCGAACTTGTAGACACGGATTGGTTTCCTAGCAAGCGCTGCGGCAAAACAGCCCGTGATGTGATGATCCGTGCTGTGTCTTTCGATGCAATAGCATTATTCAGAATCGTCTTCGTCATCCCTGATGTACATTTCCCGCTCTCTAGATGGAGCAATTGCGCCGATGGGCAGTTGAAATGCTTTTTACATTTCGCGTCCGCTAGACACTTGATGTTGCTCAGTGGATGATGGCGTACTGACGATAAGTGTTGCGTAAGCGAATCCTGATTCTTGAAAGACTTCTTGCACTTCTCGCATCTCGTTTGCGGAGTCACTTGCTCTGAGCGAGCCTGTTCCTGTTTCTTCGTGTTCTTGCCTCCCTTGCTCGGTTTGTGGATACCTCTGCATCGGAGATGGTTTGTCAGTGCGTCTTCACTTCTGAAGTTGCGCTTGCAGTCGCAGCATCGGAATTGTGTTGCGGGCGTTGGCTGTCTTACTGGGACGGGAGTGTGCGATTGGGCGTGCGATTCGTGTAGCTCTCTTGTGGGAAAGAGAATGCTACAGTGGTTGCAGAAGGCATGGAGTTTCTCGCGCTGGTGAGCGATGAGAGATGCTTTATGTGAGAAACTCTGTTTGCATTCGGGACAGGAAACCGGTGGTAGCTGGGCTTCGAGTAGTGCTATGTAGCTGTCTAGACGGATGCAGTAGGAGCAGGGACAGTGCTCGACAGAGTCTTGGTGTTTGATAGAAGTCATGGCGTTGGATCGTGGTGATAGCAAGTAACTGATAGAGCTGATCGAAACATAGACAAGTAGTACAGATGGATAGAAGTGGAAGTGACTAAGTAGATATAGATATACTGAGATAGCGGGGTAAGGTGGTACAAGTTTTAACGAGATATTGAACTGACGAGTGAGCTTGCGAGAAAGGCGCCTGAAGCCTTGTTGCATCTCACAGGATGATTGACTATTCAGAGCCCTAATTTCGTAGTTTCAGCCGATGCGAGGTGATCCCCATGCGACGTGGTGCCATCCCTTGATACTCTCTGTTCTCATACATATTTATGGCAGGAGGAGTACTGTCACCTAGTCACCATGGCCATAAGCATAGCACTGATCCGCTTCTTTCGGAATGTTACATAGGGCCGCTGCCTTCAATGAGTCTAAAGTGTGAGCGCTGTGGCGTGGAGAGTCTTAGAGACATTTGAGTTGAAAACAAGTATACTACAGAACGCCACCAAAGACAAACAAAAACACGGCATTACCGAGCCCATTCCTCGCTTCACTTCAACCCCACCTGCGCACAGGTCCACACTCGAGCGCACCGTATTAGTATCCATTATATAAATGAATAAGAGCGTCTCGTCATCCACCTGGAAGTGATCTAATCGGGCCATTGGCCTAATGGCATGGCGCTTGACTTCGAATCAAGAGATTGTAGGTTCGACCCCTGCATGGCTCAGATGCACATTTTTTTTGCCCCGTTTGCTTATCTGTTCGATTCTTTCTCTCGGTCCATAAATCTCAGGAAAACCTCTTCTTGTTTTTCTTCTTTATCTTGGTGACCTGAGTTTTAAAAGAAGGAGGGTTTTTATTTCCCTCCCCAGACGCACAAACAAACAAGTCTTTTTGTTGGTTTAGGAATGTGGAGGAATAGCGAGGTTCGTTCTGGTGCGAAGAATGACCAACTCACGTCCACCTAGGCTAGGTGGGTGGCTGGAGGTGGGTTCCACGCTACGTCGCGGCGACAAAGAGTTTTTGGCGTGAGGAACCTGCCCAAAATCATCTCTTCCCTGCTGCCCCTTCGGATCCCACTGTATACACGAAAAGAATTAAATCGTGAAAACCAGAGTATGGCCAGTTCATTATGTCCATAGCATCACAATGGGATATGGTAAATCATCACTCATATACGGCGCGGAGAGTTCGTCTCGGAAGACGGAATACTAATTATATCCCAAGGCAGCTAGCTAATAGGGATAGAAAAAGAGATGATGTTTCTCTCGGGAAAGTTCGTGATGGTATTGTCTATCGTCATCGTTGTTTAGTTGACAAGACTACCAAGTATCCTGATCTCTCTCCCTCCCTCTCTCTTCCCTCAAACAGCCTACCCTCTCCCCTTCCCTCCCTCCATCCCTCCCCCCTCTTCTCTCACCTAAATCCAGCCCCCAGAAAACATTCCTCATTCACAATATCCCCCCAAAAAACCTAGCTCGCTGATAGATAGGTACCTAGGAAGCACAACACCAAACGCCATCTTGCTTGATCTCCTATGACCCAAAAAAAATTTAAAAGAATGAGACTGGCTATGTGAATAATTTCTTTAACAATGATTGAATTCATGAATAAAAAGACGATTCATGAAGAATTGACGATTCCTCGGACGGAATCATAAGAGCCTTGCATGACGTGTTTTGATTCGCCTGTTGTGGGATCGTAGATGTGGCAGCCATAGGTGGCTGCGTTGGGTGGGGTGTAGACTGTTTTGGAAGGTGAGTTGGGATTTTGGTTTCATTTTTGAGAATGGGGAGGGGGGGATAGAGGCGAGCATGGAGTAGATGGGGAGAGATGAATTTGAGGGGGAATCACAGATGAAGGGTAGAACAAGAAGAAAGAAAGCAAGAAAGATACTCACGATGCAGACTAACGGCGTACTCCCCCTCACTCGGATTGATAATCTCATGCAAACCCAGCCGATCAGAGATGTACGCCACTTTCCCCTCTTTGAACTCCTTCCTGCCTATCTCTTTCAACGCCTCTCTATCTCCCTCCCTCCCTTCCAGCTCCTCTGTCGAACTCTCGGGCATCGCCCACCGCACTTCACTCAATCGCCCACTCAACACTTTCATCAAACAATGACTTCCGGCATGATCGTGCACCGGACTCCTCATGCCGGGCGTCCAGACTAAGAGGAGGAGATTGAATATACCGGGGACTTCGGTGATGAGGTTACGTGTGTATTTCTTCTGGGGGTTGGCGTGTGCGTATTTGGCCCTGTGGGGAGTTTAGTTTAGTATGGGAGGTATGTGATTTGAGGGGGTTGGGAGCGAGGGATGCAGGTTTTTGCGAAGGAGCAAGGAAGATGGACGTACCAGTGTGTAGGATTGGAGGTGTAGTTTCGGAGGAGATCGTGGAGAGCTGGGAGGGAGGGGGAGAAAGGGTGGGACGGGGAGGGTTGGGATGAGGGAGATGTGAGGGCGAGAGTTAGGGAGTTGAGGAGGGTGTCGAATGGATTTGGCGATGTTGGTATTATGGTCTTTGGTGCAAGAGGTGTGCGAAATGCTGGTTACATGTTAGACGGAATCCCGATATAGATATGATGGAGATAGAGGAGGGAACAAACCTGTCGTGGTTGAGGTTGTATTTGGATGAAGGAGAGGGCTTGAGCTTGACTGCGAACTTGTTTTCCGTGGTGTGAGAAATGTGTTGTTTTGTGCTGTTGCGGTCAGAGTCCGATGCATTGCTGTGTTGTGAGGTGTTGTTTGGAAGGGAATCTTCGAGCGCAGGGTAAGCATGGTTTTGGGTTTGAGGGGAGGCATAATTGAATGAGTTGTTATGATGATAGAAAAGCGAGTCGATGTGGATGTACTTGATGCAACGGAAGCAGTGTCAAGGATACTTGTAGCGATCTCCAATCTTTGTGAACAGATAAGACAGTTTTGAGGGTGTAAACGATTTGAATAATTGAATAATTGTAGGTGTGTAGGAGATGAAAGAGCAGATGTGTACGAGCCTTCCAACACATTCCAACGGGCACTGCGCTACTCAAGAGGAGCGATGCCAGAACCTACATCGTAGGACCAGGTCGCTTGCCCGAACCCGCTGATAGACTGATGCAGTCTAATCAAGGATGCTCCTCTGGCACAAACCCAAATGAGACACACCTACATCCAGGTTGCAATGTGTTCCGCCCTTTCGAAGCCATTTGAACTTCGGCCCAGACGATTTGTAGCATAAATCCTGAGCCTCGCCATTCGGCATTTCTTTCTTCATCCAACATCTTTCCTTGCATTTCTTCCTCCTCGTTCCTTCGAAATAGCTCTCCTGCTCGCCCGCGCGTTGGTAGACCAGCTCGTTCGTATTTCCCTCCTACCCACAGCGTTCCCTACCTCCTCAAACCTCTTCTAGCCAATGGCAAGCCATATCTCAACCATCCACCGCCATGCAGGGCTGTCGTAATAAATCTGCTCATCAAGGTAGTCACCGCCGTTCGTTTCGGCGACGCTCGAAATTTGGTCTGGATTTGAACCAATGACAACAAAGCGTGGGTTTGTTGGCGGGGTCATCGGATCAGCGATAGGGTCGATAGTGGGGTTGTGAGACGACTTGGCCAATGCCGATGTTGTGTGGTGGTGGCCGCGTGTGTAGATCTGACTTTGAGCCCAAAAGTAAAATGCTTCCTCTTACCGGGAGATAATGTAGAGGGCAACGAGAATGATGTCCAAAGTTCGGCTAGAGTGAATGAAATAGAGAAAGAAAGAAGCAAGGAGAATCTGTCAAGGAAAACGAAAGTACTAGAACAAGCGTAGTAGAAACAAATGAAAGTAATAGACACCGCAATCAATCGCACACATACCACGTCCTGCCAAAGCTGAGGAGCGCTTGCTCTGGTCTGGCTCTGCCTGTGCTGTCCTGTCCGTATATCTTTTCCTAAGCCGCCGCTGGCCTTCCGTCCGGACCTCAGAGGCCTTCTTCCCTTCCTCTCATCGCTTCTCCTCGCTGCGACTTATGCGCAGCGCAAAAGTGAGAAACCCACCGTCGGCCATCTGATTGGACCCCGCACACGAAGCATGTGTCATGCCACACAAACTCTCGCTCTTCTCACTCAAGAAATCGCGAGGAAAAAACGAGGGAGAGACGACGAGACATTGTAGAAAGAAGAGGTCAATGAGACCGGAATTCGTGAGGATATACTCGACGAGATGTGATGGGGAGGGAAGGAAATCGAAGAGTGATGGCAATGTTCATATAGTCCTGTGAGAGAGGAGAGCGCTGATTCGCTGAGAGGGTGTCTTAGCGTGACAGGGGCGATTGCGTGCGATTGAGCTTTTTCTCGTGATTTGGCATTTTGGGGCGGTATGCTGCTGAGTCAGCCAGCGGTCATTGTTGACTTGGAAGGAGCACGGAGGACGGATTGGCTCGATGGGTGATGCTATCTACTTATACTTGCATATGGTTACGAAGTAGAGACATTCCTTTGAATTAATTGAACTGACGATTATAAGTATTTCCAGGGTATGTATCAATAGAACTTGCTCAATAATAGATCTAGACCTTACACGGATTTGCATTTCTTCTCGAGACTAAAGGCATCTACTGCATACCTTTCTCGATTCATGATCTTCTTTCCCCATCTTCTGATATCTTCTTCTACTTTCTCCCTAGTTTATTTCATCTTACTCTGATAACTCCCTGCTTTCCAGCTGCTATCCTTCATAATATTTTACGGATCCTTCAATTCCCAGCTCGCTCATTGGATTGACTATCTTCCACTATCTTTGAATTCTAAAATAGTAATTACAAGATCACAGACACTATTCGCAAAGCTCTCACTTGATCGTCAAGGAAGTTGACAATCTTCTGACGGATTTACGTCATGGCCAAGTCAGTTGCTATGTGAGTCTTCACGCAGCTTGAGAAATGCTACTTCTAAGCCTCCCGGTGAGAGGACCAGTGTCTGAAGAGAGAGAGGAACCTTGATATCCTTCTATATTTTCGACAAATAACTAGTGCAAAGAAGTGTTGAAAAATTTCTCATTATAGAACTTGAATTGACGGGACCATGACTTCGCGGCTGGGTCTGGCTGATGGAGGAAAAGATGCTATTGCTCTCGATCTTTGTGGGGATGGAAAACGAGGGAGTTGATGAAGAAATTCATACGTGAAGGACTTCTTCGGAATTACTCAAATCAAAGGCAGAAGTACGCCCCTCAAACCCCATTTGATCTACTGCTTCGCTTATGATTGGCATCGGTGGCTAATTCACGGCTGGTCTTATAGCTCAATGTCTGGATCTGGCTCTGGCTCTGGCTCTTTTGAAGCTTGATTACCTAGGTTTTCGAAGATGTGTAGATCTCTCTAAGTCTCAATATTAAGATTATGGATGAAATCACCTGAATATCTCGACCTTTTAAAGCCATTGCACTCGACGCCGCCTAAAATCATTTCAAATAGGCATCCACGGATGGCGCTTATCCTCGCAAACCACGAAATGAAAATGGAGGTTCACCTCCACTCAGCAGACCTTGGCGTCGGCTTGGAGTCGTAAGCTTCGTGGCTGAGTGGTTTATTCTGGAGAATATGCTTTCCTCTATCGAGAAAGGATTGAGTCAGATCGCGGATTTGGTATGAGGGAATTGTTCCACGGCTTCTGAATCGATGGAAAGCTACGAGTACCCAGGTATGAGATGGTGCCGGGCCTTGGTGTCAAGATAGAAATGTTGCCAAGAAGAAACGCATTCG